CCATGCCTGAAATACTCTCATGGGCTTTTCAGCCAGATCTGAATGCCTTTAGGGCTGATTCTGAGGCCAGAGTGCTATTTAGGGCATCTGCCATTCTATGAGTCTGCTGAGTATCTCACTTCCCATGTTGGATCACTCTCCCCTTTATTTATTCTATCGGTTACTGTTAGCAGGTACTAGACTTGTTTATGTGCTCCCTTTGACTCTTAGTCCTTTCATTATGATCAATTGCGAACTGAAATTGATCACTTGGACTAGTGAGATGGCATTGGTACATGCCACCTTGATGGGATTAAATTGGAGTCCCCTGGTATGTTTCTAACTCTACCATTTGGGGCAAGTCAGCTTGAGCATGTCCCAAATTATATATCTCTTCCCTCTCTTATTCCTACTCTTATGTTTAACAGGGATCACATTTCAGTTAAATTTCAACACTTAAGAATAACTGTGTATTAATTACAGAATTAAATCAGTCATATTAAGTAGAACAGACAAAAAAACTACTAAGAGGGATAATGTATTAAGTTGTTCATTAACAGTCAGGGCTATGCTGATCAAGTCACCGTTTCCCATAGTGTCCCTTTCACTTCAACAAGTTTCCTTTTTGGTGTTCAGTCAGTTGTCACCGATCAGGGAGAACATATGGTATTTGTCCCTTTGGGACTGGCTTATTTCACTCAGCATGATGTGTTCCAGATTCCTCCATTTTGTTGCAAATGACTGGATTTCGTTGTTTCTTACTGCAGTATAGTATTCTAAAGAGTACATATCCCATAATTTCTTTATCCAGTCTACCGTTGATGTCAAAGCCACAGATTCTGTGATTGCTGTTCTTAGATCATGCGTAAGAGCTTCTGTACCACTCAAGTACGAAATAACCGTAGGACTCAACTCACAGTTTAATGAGAAATGACTTAGTCTGTGCTGCTATAACAGAACAACATAGACTTGGTAAAGAACAGAAGTTTATCTCTTACCAAGATCAAAGTGCTGGCATTTAATTTGTGGGTACCTCCTTACTGTGTCCTCACATGACAGAAACTCAAGAGGCAAGCCAGTTGATGCTGTGCAAAGCCTCTTTTATAATGGCCTAATCTTGTTAACAAAGGAGCAGCCTTCATGGCCTAATCACTTCTTAAAGGCCCCACCTCTTAATACCACTGCACAGGCAACACCTGAACTTTGGAGGGGCCCAGTCAAACCAAAGCACTCAAGAGTATCTTTGTTCCTAAAGAACATTTCAGCAACTCAAGAACATAGGTCTTAGATCTAAAAAAAATTCTAATACCTAATATTTGCATGCCCTCAGGTTTGTGAGAAGTCAAGACAGCACAGGTAGAAAGAAAAGTCAACATTAAAGTTTGGTGACATGCATACTTAACACTAATGTTATAAATTTTGCACATATTCAGCATTTAATAAAAACAATACAAAATCATGCAGAAAAGAACAAAGCGTCCCCAACATTAGGTAGCTTTTTCAAAATATTACCATATCTTCCAATACTTAGAGAGTTGTCAAGAGTAGCTTTCTTTTCATGAAACTCGACAGCAGCCTTTGATTTGACTGCAGCTACTAAATTATTATTAACCAAGAGTCACTCTGTGGCTTGCAATGTAAGAGTATAATAATTCATCCAAAATTGTCATTTTTAAAAAAATTTTAAGAGTTTAATCGACCAACATAGATGAAAAGCTTAGATGAATGTGATACAAATAAGTGAGATCTAAAATACATTTCGTGCCATTACAAGGATCAAAATATGTTCTTGTAGATGTAACTAGCCTTAAAAATCATGTTTACCTTTCTCTGAAGGGAGGAGAGAACTTCCACTTTGACTATGGCCTTGTCTAAATAAGATCAGAGTTTGTGAACTCAAGAGGCTTCCATAGCCTTGGCAGCTCATGACAAGAGCCTCAGGTGATTACTGATGTCATAAATAAAAGTGTCAATTGTTAAATCAACAACAGGAGTAACTGTGCTCCTACTTCCCATGTAGGATCTCTGTCCTTAATGTGTGGTACTATGCTAATTAACAGTAAAACTACTACTCAAACAGTACTCTATACTTTGTGCGTCTGTGTGGGTGCAGTCTGTTGAAATCTTTACTTAATATATACTAAGTTGATCTTCTGCGTATAAAGATAATTGAAAATGAATCTTGCTGAAGAATGGGATGGGAGAGGGAGTGGGAGATGGGATGGTGGCAGGTGGAAGGGAGGTTATGGGGGGGGAAAGCCGCTATAATCCAAAAGTTGTACTTTGGAAATTTATATTTATTAAATAAAAGTTGAAAAAAAAATCATGTTTAGAGGCTGGCCCTGTGGCGTAGTGGGTAAAGCTGCTGCCTACAGTGCTGGCCTCCCATATGGGTGCTGGTTCAAGTCCCAGCTGCTCCACTTCCAATCCAGCTCTCTGCTATGGCCTGGGAAAGCAGTGGAAGATGGCCCAAGCCCTTGGTCGCCTGCACCTGTATGGGAAACCTGGAGGAAGCTCCTGGCTCCTGGCTCCTGGCTTCAGATCAGTGCTGTTCCGGCCATTGCAACCATCTGGTGAGTGAACCAGCAGATGGAAGACCTCTCTCTCTCTCTCTCTCTCTCTCTCTCTCTCTTTTTCTCTGCCTTTGTAACTCTGCCTTTTAGATAAATAAATCCATCTTTTTTTAAAAAAATTTTTTAGAGATAACATATATAGCACTGCTCACTATTAGAATTATGGGGAAAGGAACAGGCATTTCAAGACAAAACCAGAAAAGTTCACATTCCAGGGCTTAGAGTTTCTCATTTTGAGTACAGAAAAACATTACAAAAGAATTATATTCATGTCAATAAAAATATCCTAGTAATTCAAAATATTCAAGTATTGAATGGTGCTTGAGTAGAGGCTAAATGCTCTAATGTTAAATTTATGTATTTATTTACTCATTTTCATTTATTTAACAGGCAGAGAGACAGGGAGAGACAGAGAACTTGCATCCACTCATGCACTTCCCAAATGTCTGCATGCCCAGGACTGGATCAGGCCAAAGTGAGGAGCAAGGACCTCAATTTAGGTTTCCCATGTAGGTGACAGGGACCCAGGACAGGGACCTGCTACTTCCCAGGGTGTATATTAGCAGAAACTAGATTCAGAAATACAGCTGGGACTGAAACCCACATACTCTAATATGGGATGCAGGCCTTCTAAATGGCATCTTAACTGCTGTGCTAAATGCCCCACCCCCATTATTATTTTCAGGAGAGAATGGAAGGAAATATAGAAGATTTATCTTTTGGGGAAGAATGTGATACTGATACAAAGATAATCAGCAACCGTATGACATTCAGGTCACCAAGTCCAATCAGGTCCTACCTGGCATGGGTGAAGAAAAGAACCCAAAATCTTTGTAAATTCAAATGCACAGCATTTATAACACTGAACACAGTGGGATTTCTCCTTTGAATGTAAAATATTTAGCAAGCAACTTCTGAACCCTTTGGGATTTTTTTCTAACTCTGGAATCAAGTGTTTATATTCACTAAGCACATAATTCTTCATAGAAATCATTTATAATACAGCTGATGAAAAATGACCTATTTAAGGATAATACTACTATTATACAGGGAAAGTGGATAGTTCAGAAAAAATTTAATGAAAGAATAAAAAGCAGATGAACTATCTACATTGATTTAAAGTCCCTAGAGGATTATTCAAACCTGCCTCCCCCACACCCCCTTCCCAACTCTGCTTTGCCTACTAAGACATGGTTTATGAGTCATCCTTAGGGAACAGCAAAATATAGTGCACTTGACTAAAAATAGGTAGGAACATTGAATAATAAATCTACTTTCTTGATATTCTCATGTCATCATTAAGCACTGATCACTTGAAGAAGTGTCAGGTTATACGATTCTCCCCTCCCCTCCCAGAAAGGCTGGAATAAAATCAGCCACTGGCATTGTGGGAAAGAAATGAAGTTTCTGACATGACGCACAACACGTAGAAGATAATGTGAAATGCCTAGGGCCCAGAGTTCACCCAGAAGAACAGTACAGTTGGTAGTTCATGTGACACAGTACAACTTTTTTCCACTCCTAAAGCAATTATAAAACTTCTATTTGATTAAGGGGTCAGAAAAGAACAGTCACTCATATTCACCAGGATGCTGGCCCTAGCATCAGTGAGGTCAGAACTGTGGTATAGTGGGTAAAGCTACTACCTAAGACACCACTAGCATCCTATAGCACTGGTTTGAGCCCTGGCTGCCCTACTTCTGATCCAGCTCCCAGGCAGCAAATGATGGGCCCAGCTACTTAGACCCCTACACTCACTTGGGAGACTCAGAAGATGTTCCTGGCTCCGGATTAGCCCAGCTCCAGCCATGTGGCCATGTGGGGGAGTGAACAAGGGGATAGAAGATCTCTCTCTCTCTCTCTGTAACTCTTTTAATAAATAAATAAATCTTTTTTTTATTTTTAAAGCATTGGGAGGTCTCAGTTTATAAGTAAAATGAACTAGCCATATAAAGATATTTCTGGTTCTCATTCTAGAATTTCATGAAAGGTTTAGTAAACGGCATGTTAGAGAAACGTTGGAAAAATTTATTTACATCATCCCCACACATGGGGATGGAGGATTCCAGCTGGTAATCACACAGCTGTGATTTTTCACATGGTTGGAAATTTTCTTAGGCCAGCCCTGCATAACACAGAAAACTTCTCTTTGGAAAGAATCATTGTGAACAATCACTTCAGTAACTCCCGATGCTTACCATACACAGGCCATACCACTGCAGATAGTGACAGAAAACAACGTAAGGTGAAGTGCCCAACTGGAAGCTAACCAATGCTGGGAGATTCTGCTTAAAGCTCAACAGAACCAGGCACATGTCTGTGAATCAGTTGAAAGAGATGTTTATTTCAGTTGGGGCATCAGTGTGAAGGAAGGGATTCCTTTCACAGATGGAAAGCTCTAGAACCCCACAGCTAGTGAATCTTCATCACAGGCCACATACTACTCACCAAGCAGCTCCGAACCGACTGCAGGCGATGTCCCTTCAGCCCAACTCACCACACAGTCCTCTGTAAAGCAAGCAGACACAAACAAGAGAAAATCAAACTAAAGCACTTTCAGAGTTCTCATTCAGACAAGCAGCTCTTTGCACTTCCAAATCAATACCTATGATTTTGTTAAAAAATACATATCAGAAAGATATTCTAAAAAATTAGAGTGACATTAGTTCCACACAACAAATACATACAACCATCAAATCAAAAATATCATTGCTAGACCAGCTTACAAGTATTACACACCCTCTCTTCAATGCTGCTAATCTGCTACTTAAACTATTAAAATAATTAGGCAGCAATTGAACAACAAGAGTATCTAAAATCTTCTTGAAGTAAATATAATTGTCATTCCTGATTAGTAGTAAAATGTCCTTGGCTGAATTCTAATTGGAAGACACCTTTCAAATGACCTTAGATGAACTACAATCAAAATAAACCTTTCAAAGAGTACTGCTGAACAGGAAAGATTTACAACAGAATTGCATCTGCCTACAAAAAGAGTCATTGCTTTTTATGTATGTGTCAGTATTTTCTTTGTTAATAAGGTTTTTTTTTATGTTAAGTCTAGATTTGACATTGAGTTTTGAGTTGGCTGAAAGTTACATTCCAAGATCTCTCTAAGATATAGGGGAAGAAAAAGTTTCAGGTAGTAGCAGAAGTAAAGAAGTCAAATGAAACCACATGAATGTAGGAAGAAACTAGAAGCAGAAAAAGCATCAGTTGAGACCTGGAAAAATGTTATCTGCAGAGGCTGAACTTGTAATTTGTGAAGGTCATCATCTCTGTACGGAGATGGCTACAGCAGAGTGCCTTAATGAGGCCCCAAGTAGGAGAGCGAATTCATCCAGTGTAACAGTATGCTGTGAAAAAGAAAGGAGCACATCTGGCTATGTATAGCAGACATGTCAACAAATTCTCATCTCGTAGTATTAATTTTAAAAAATAAAGTAGCAACATAATATGTGTATGATGATCCCATTGTGTTAAAACAAACCTTACTAATGTATATATCTTACAGTTAACCTAAGAACATTTAGCTATTAATCAAGAAAGACAATTATATTTACTTCCAGAAGATTTTAGATAGTCATGTTGTTCAATTGTTGCTTGGTTATTTTAATAAATTCAGAGGTTGAGCAGCAGATTAGTAACATCCAAGAAAGGGTGTATGGTTCCTGCAGGCTAGGTATAACAGTAATATTTCTGATTTTATGACAGTATGTCTTTTTGCATGTTTATATGCAAAGAACACATCTGGAGAACTATCAAGAAACTTCTCAGCCTGACTGCCATTGGAGAACTGGTATTGACAGAAGGTATTTTAAAAAAAAAGTCAGGAGAAGCATTTAGTTCAGCAGTAAAGGTGCTGGTTGAGATGTCCTTGTCCCATATTTTAGTGTCTGGGTTTGAATTTGGGTTCCTCTCTTCATTCCAGCTTCCTGCTAATGTGCACTCTGGGAGACGGTGACCTACATGGGAAACAGAGACTGAGTCATTGGTTCACGGCTTCATCCCTGGCTCAGCCCCAACCACTGTGGGCTTCTGGGGAGTGAACCAGAGGATGGGAGCTTGTTCTGTGTCTGTCTGTCTTATTTGTCTCTCTGTGTTCCTCTAAAAAATAAATAAGCATGTTTCTTTCCCTGAAAGGACTTCTACTTTAATCTAACATTTAACTACTATGTAATATTTTACCATAAAATATGTTACTCAAAATTGAAAATGGAAGAGGTATTTTACCACATTTAATGATAAAATATTATATAACAGTTAATAAACCAAAATTCACCAAATGGACCATTACTAACCATAATTTAACAAAGGTAAACTCTCTATAGAAACAGTATATTTCAAATGTACAGAATGAGAGAATATACAGCATCAGGTATATTTTGGTGGATATGTACAATGGCCCCGACTCTAAGCATGAACTGCATAAAATTTATACAATCCACAGAACAATTCTAAAATGCATGCACCGTCATGATTGCCATTTTAGACCAGAGAAAACTGTGAAGCTGAATGAATATTCAGGAATCCCATAGAGCTGGCATTCAAACTTGGTACTGGACCCATGTTTAACCCCTCTCAGACTGCCTCCTCCAAGACATTATATTTTCTGTATTACATTTATATTTGAAAGTATCATAAGTATGAAACTGTAAATTCCAGGAGGACAGGGATTGTGTGTGTACTGAAAATCATTATGTATATTCTCAGCCTGTAGCACAGTGCCATGCACTTCGTGGGTAGTGAATAAATCTTTGCTGAGTGGCTTACCTAGAACTGAAATAAGCCTTATACACTTTGGGCACTCCCCAGATGGCCACAACGGCCAGAGCTGTGCCGATCCGAAGCCAGGAGCCAGGAGCTTCTTCCGGGTCTCCCACGTGGGTGCAGAGGCCCAAGGACTTGGGCCATCTTCTACTGGTATCCCAGGCCATAGCAGAGAACTGGATGGGAAGAGGAGCAGCCAGGACTAGAACCGGCGCCCATATGGGATGCCGGCACTTCAGGCCAGGGCTTTACCCTGCTGTGCCACAGTGCCGGCCCCTGGATTTCTTTTTGAGGTGATGAAAATATTCTAAGATTAGACTGTGGTGATGATTGCACAATTCTGTGAATATACTAAAATCCACTGAATTGAATATTTTCAAGTGCATAAATTTTATGATATGTAAATTATAGTTCATTAAAATGGCTTTTTATTAAAAGGCTGCATTTCAATTAGCTTGACAGTGAATGTTTGTCAGCATTTCTTCAAAAATGACAAGACATTTAGACCACTTTCTTCAAGAAAATACAATCCCATCCAGGTGGCATGTACCAATGCCATCTCACTAGTCCAAGTGATCAATTTCTGTTCACAATTGATCACACTGATAGATCTAAGAGTCAAAGGGATCACACAAACAAGACTAGTGTCTGCTAATACTAACTGATAGAATCAAAAAGGGAGAGAATGATCCATCATGGGAAGTGGGATACACAGCAGACTCATAGAATGGCAGATGTCCTAAATAGCACTCTGGCCTCAGAATCAGCCCTTAAGGCATTTGGATATGGCTGAAGAGCCCATGAGAGTATTTTAGGCATGGAAAGCCAAGACACTCTGGGGGGGAAAAAAAAAACCCTAAATGAAAGATCTCTGTAAGTGAAATCCCAGTGGAAAGAATGGGGCCATCAAAGAAGGAGGTACCTTTCTCTGAAGGGAGGAGAGAACTTCCACTTTGACTATGACCCTGTCGGAATAAGATCGAAGTCGGTGAACTCAAAAGGCTTCCATAGCCTTGGCAACTCATGACTAGAGCCTAGGGAGATTACTGATGCCATAAACAGGAGTGCCAAATTGTTAAGTCAACAACAGGAGTCACTGTGTACTTACTTCTCATGTGGGATCTGTCCTTAATGTGTTGTCCAATGTGAAGTAATGCTATAACTATTACTGAAACAGTATTTTACACTTTGTGTTTCTGTATGGGTGCAAACTGATGAAATCTTTACTTAACATATACTAAATCGATCTTCTGTATATAAAGATAATTGAAAATGAATCGATGTGAATGGAATGGGAGAGGGAGCGGGAGATAGGAGGGGTGCGAGTGGGAGGGAAATTATAGGGGGGGAAAGCCACTGTAATCCATAAACTGTACTTTGGAAATTTATATTTACTAAATAAAAAAATTAAAAAATCCATTGTTGAGAATCTCCATGGGATTTTTTTGTGACAGAAAAAACAGAATTATGGTGGGTGTTTTGTACAGCAGTTAAGACACTGGTGGAGAGGTTCATAGTTTATGTAGGAATGGCCTGAATTTAAGTCCCAGCTCCACTCCATATTCCAGCTTCCTGCTAATGCACACACTGGGAGGAAGCAGAAGAGGGCTCGAGTATTTGGTCTGTGCCACCCACATAAGAGACATAAATTGATTTTCTTGTTTCTGACTTGGACCTGGCCTAGGCCCAGCCACTGTAGGCATTTGGAGAGTGAACCAGCATTGAAAGATCTCTCATTGTCAACCTCTCTGTCTTTCTGCCTTTCAAATAAAATAAGTAAACAATATGTAAGTTACTTTTAAAAATAGAAATACACAATTGTGATTTGCCTTTTTACAAACAGCACACATGTGGAGCTGCCACCAAACACTAAGTAAACACCAGCCTTTTACTGCAAATTACTACTAATAATGCTATAATGGTGGAGATACCATCTTATTTCAAAAGAATGAGATACATTACGCAGAGGTGAAGTTTTTCCTTAATGGAGGGAAAAGGAACTACAAATTTTCAAGGGTGATACTGTCAGGCCTGTTTCAATGAATCTATATTCTTTATATTCTTTTTTTTTTTTTCATTTCATTTGAAAGGCAGAGGGAGATCTTTCATCCACTAGTTCACTCCCCAGCCACCTTCAGTAGCCATGCCTGTGCCAGGCTAAAGCCAGGAGGCTGGAATTCAATGTGGTTTGAGTGGCAGGGACCCAAGTACTCCACCTATCATCTACCACCTCTCAGGATGCACATTAGCAGAGCCTAGACTGGAAGTGGAGGAGCTGAGATGTGGGCATCTCAAGTGGTGACTTCAGTTACTGCACCAAATGCCCACCCCCAGGTGAATCCATATTCTAAATGCAAAAGTCAGCACTGAATGCTCTTCCCAAGATAATATTTAGATATTATTTTCAATAAAGAATAACAGGGCAAAATTGAACCACAGCAGAGATTAGTTCACTCTTACCTACTACTGAATGTGGAAATTATTGTTTTGTAAGGTTATAGGGTGTGAGAAGACAGTTATGTCAGTGATTTTGTGCAGTGTAACAAACCATCTCACACCTTTGTGGCTTCAATCAATACCTAGTTATTTTGGTTTGTGCACTGCGGTTTCAAGTTAGCAAGAGCAGAAAGAGGGCAGGCTAGAACATATAAGCATTTCCCATGCACTTGCTGTGCCATAGGTGCAAATGTTCCCTAAGCACTGGGCAAAGCAAGTCACAGGGTAATGCCCACCAGCAA